CACTGACCAGTTGCAAATGTGATATTTATTTACAACAATTCAATAATAAGAAGTTAATATTGTGGTATATATTAGACACAATATTGTCTGATTTTGCTAAATTGTGTAGGTGAAAATATTACCTATAAAGCCACAGAAGGACTGTTGTGCGTCTCCTAATAAAACACAATAGGTGTTGGACTTGAAGCAGCATTGCACAGACTATTCTGTGTGTGACATCGAAGTACAGCGAGAGCGATTAGACAGTATTTAAAATGTTTGTTTTGATGTAAAATAAGTCTTGCTGTTTTGCTTTTTTGTTAAACCAGTGTTGCTGTTGTAAAGTTATACAGCTACAGTTGTGTTGCTGGGTTTTAAAGCAGGTTTGATTTTTTTTCTTCCTTATCACTCTGTATTTACAGGATTTCACTGTCCACTCTGATCAAATGTGGATGAATGGCTACACATAGATGTGTGCACACACACTGTCAGAGCTGTAGATCACTACCATCCTGCTTTTGTGGGGGTGTTATATTATTTAATAGTTTTAGTTAATAGCCTAAAAAAAACCCTGGTATACATACCGTTTACTGCAAGAAATAGTATGAATAGTATGGTAGTACAGTACGCCATTCTAAGCATGTCTACATAATTGACTGGTGAGACAGGGAGGTAATTTCTGCCACTCCTTATAGTTCATTTACATGCACAAGGTCAAACAGTTGATGGATGATCAAATGTCATGTGTCAATGGGATAAACGAATCACAATAGTCATTACATATTGGAATAAGCTATTTTTTTTCTCTGAACTGACCTCTTTGGGATCATTCCAGACTGGCGGAGATATTTTTGCTTGTAAATGCTACAGAAAAGTGCCAAAGAGATGCAGCTGCTGTACTCTCACACTCAGCATTTAATACCCCATCATGGAACAAGCACTTGTTAATGTGACATTGAGTGATGTCCACCCTGACCTCTCCTTCTCTCTCGTCTCATTTGCATGTTAAGCATCCTGCCTTCTTTCACTTCAGCACTGTGACGACACACAAAGGGATGTCTGCCACCCACCCTGGTATACATACCGTTTACTGCAAGAAATAGTATGAATAGTATGGTAGTACAGTACGCCATTCTAAGCATGTCTACATAATTGACTGGTGAGACAGGGAGGTAATTTCTGCCACTCCTTATAGTTCATTTACATGCACAAGGTCAAACAGTTGATGGATGATCAAATGTCATGTGTCAATGGGATAAACGAATCACAATAGTCATTACATATTGGAATAAGCTATTGTTTTTCTCTGAACTGACCTCTTTGGGATCATTCCAGACTGGCGGAGATATTTTTGCTTGTAAATGCTACAGAAAAGTGCCAAAGAGATGCAGCTGCCGTACTCTCACACTCAGCATTTAATACCCCATCATGGAACAAGCACTTGTTAATGTGACATTGAGTGATGTCCACCCTGACCTCTCCTTCTCTCTCGTC